GTCTCAAAGAGCCAATTTTGATCAAGAAGTTGAAACCAATTCTCTTGAGCGTGATCCAGGATTACATCCTGAAATAGACACATTTCCGCCTAATCAACATGATAATTTTTGAAGAGCATATATTCTCTTAGGACCATGTCAACCAAAACTAAAGGAATATCCACCTCATTTAGAAGGGAAACAAATGCGTCGATTTAATGGTAATTGGTATACCCAATATCCTTGGCTTGAGTATTCTGTTCATAAAGATAAAGTGTTTTGTTTTCCATGCTTTCTTTTTGACGTTGATCACTCACATAAGGCATTCACTATAGATGGATTTAGAAATTGGAGAAGAGTTGGTGGCAAAGAGTGTGCTTTCCTTACTCATTTAGGCATTATAAATTCACCACATCATTTTGCTATCCAAAAGTTGATGGATTTAAAGAACCCGACTCACCATATTGACAGAGTTGTGCAACTCTCACAAGAAGTTGTGAAAAATAGGTTGAGGCTTACAACCACAATAGAGGCCATTAGGTATCTAGCAAATTAAGGAATGGCTTTTAGAGGTGATGATGAATCTCATGACTCTTCTAATCGGGGTAATTTTATTGAGTTCGTAAAGGCTTTTGCAAGAATTAACAAAGAAGTTGAAAAAGTTGTGTTACAAAATGCTCCTCTAAATGCCCATTATATTTCACATAAGATACAAAATGAATTCTAAATATCTATGCTAACAAAGTGAGGAAGAGGATACAAGATGAAATTGGGGAAGATGAGAAATTTTGTATTCTCGTTGATGAAGCACTTGACGATTCTAAGAAGGAACAAATGGCTATTATCATAAGGTTTGTAAGTTGTGATGGGCATATTTGAGAAAGTTTTTTTTTGATATTGTGAGTGTTCACGACACTAATTCCTCAACTCTTAAAAGTGATATTTGTAAAGTGTTTAGTAAGCATAGTCTTTTAGTAAGCAATATGCATGGTCAAGGATATGATAGTGCTAGCAATATGCGTGGTGAATGGAGTGGCTTACAAACATTATTTCTCAATGATTGTCCATATGCATATTGTATTCATTGCTTTGCTCATCGCCTTCAATTAACTTTAAACGCTGCTGTTAAAGAAGTATGACTTTTTTGGAGATTTTTTTCAATGTTGAATAACATTGTGAATTTTGTTGGTGCTTCTGCCCAATGCCAGTCTGAGTTAAAATTAACCCGACTAGCTGAAATTGAAGACTTATTAGCAGCTGGAAGACTTGGAACAGGTAAAGGGACTAATCAAATTCGATGTCTGCAACGACCTGGAACTACTCATTGGGGCTCACATTTTAGTTCTATTAGGAGTTTGATTGATTTATTTGGTGCAACCAAGACACTTCTAAAGGATATCAGTTATAATGGATCTACTTCACAATTTCGTGGGAAGTAGAAGGTATTAAAATTTCTATGTTGTCTTTTTACTTTGTCTTTGCCTAGAATTTGTTGGACAAAACTATGAGATGCACTGATTTTCTTTGTCAAGAACTTCAAAGAAAATCTGAAGACATTGTAAGTGCTTTGAATTTGGTTACAAGTACAAAAATGGAGCTTGATGAGATGAGAAACAATGGTTGGGATGACTTTATACAAAGTGTACGATCATTTTGTGAAAAACATGAAATTATTATGCGTTATATGGGTGCCCGTCATACAATGGGAACTGGGCGTTCTTGTCAACAAAAAGATTGTATCACAGTGGAGCATTATTATCATATGGATGTATTTAATGAGGTAATAGATTATCAGTTGGGAGAGTTAAATACTAGATTTCCATATGAAACTGTGGAACTCCTTTGTCTTAGCTTATCATTGGATCCCCGTGATGCTTTCAAGCGATTTAACATTGATGATATATATACTCTTGTTGATAAATTGTATCCTCAAGATTTCACTACAACTGAGTTGCAGGCTTTAAATCAACAATTGAGATTTTATAAGATTGACATGGATCACAATCCAACCTTCAAGAATCTTGATTCCATTCCTATATTACTTGAACACTTAGTGGAAATAAGATTAGCACAAACCTACTACTTGATTGACAGATTGATTCGTTTGGTGCTAACTCTTCTTGTTTATACAGCAACAACAGAACGAGCATTTTCTTGTATGAGACTGTCAAAAATCGGCTTCGAAACAAGATAGGTGATGAATTTCTTGCTGATTGTATGTTACTTCACATTGAAAGAGAATTTACTGATAATATAGATAATTAATCGATAATTAATTATTTTAATTCTATGAAGACTCAAAGGGTGCAACTTATATAGTGTTATTTGAGAGGTAAGGCTCATTATGTCCCCCAGCGCCCCCCTCCATTCCCCCTCTTGAGTAGATGTATTATTAATTTTTTGTTATCAATGAAATTACATCGTACTATCAAGTTTTCTATCTACTTAGTATGTTTATATGTAAGGTAAATTTAGCCCAGGCAAATTTGAAATCCTGGGGCTATCCCTGAACATGGGTGGGTAATCAGGTTGAGTTAGTTGTATGACACCATGCCCTAGGATACACCGTTACTTAGAAGAACATGAATACCAAGCTATCATGTTAGTAGTGAAGCCTAGCCCGAGGCTGGGGGAAAAAAAAAATTTGCTTTCCAGTTGACAGCCCAGGCCCGGGGGGGTGTGGGACCCACCAACTCGGGCTGGCCCGAAGGCTACTTCCGCCTGAGGTCCAAAACGTGGGGGGTGACGTCGAGCACGCGGTAATCAAATTTTTTTTACCGTTGGCGCGTGCATTGTGCTAACGTCAGCGCGACGCAACTCCAACGTCTGGAAGACACGTGGCACGCCCCCAGTGCTTCGATTTGGTTCTACAACCTTCATCCAACGGCTGTCGTTTTTCCAGCAATAAAATTATGAAAAAAAAATCAAAATTTAAAAAAAAAAATACTAAAAAATACTTTTAAAATCTGATTTTTTTTTTCCTATAAATACCTATCAATACCCTTCACTTTCAACACCAATTCTCATACATTTTATTCTACTTCTACTATTACTCAACATTTTATTCACTCTTCACTCAACATTTTCATCTCTTTCACCTTGTATTTTTATTTCTTATTTTTATGGCTTCTTCTATCGAAACAGGAGGGGCATGGATCACCATGGAAGATGTTTCTTTGTGTGAGGCTTGACTCCGAGTTTGTCATTGTTCCGTGACAGGCAATGAGATGAAATTTTTCCATATGTGGAAAAAAATTCATGCTGAATTTTGCGAAAAAATTCCGGAGTCGTCTCGTACGGAAATGGCATTGTCGAGTAGGTGGAAACTTCTCAACAAAGAGATGGC